TTGGAGGGGAAACATTATAATGCCCAAAGTTAATATCTATGACTAACAGTAATATATATCGAGTTTCAGACCTGCAAGTTCTCGCTTGCAGTTCACGGAAATGCATCCATGTGCGCGATCTCTATCGAGCCCCTCTAGAGGATAATTGGACGACTCTTTCATGCAGGTCATACGTCTTGGAACGAGATTGCAGTACCCACAATTTATCACGCGATACGCTGTAGCTTACTCATTTACACTACCGGGTGGACAGAGATGGAATATGACTCATTCCGGAGCATGCTTCTAGGGTTCCTGAATAAATGCAGCAGTGGTGTTGCACTACCACGGTATAATATCACTTCACTTCAACTGCCGCCCATCGAGATCGAACCTTGCAATGTGCACTGACACCTACTTTATTGAGGGCGATATTGGCACGCAAAATAAAGATTGACAAAGAGATTGAACCTGCACCATTCTGGACCGCATGTCTAGTGTGCTAACCATTACACAATGGCAGCATCCCATTCTGAGAATATGCAAAGTGTTATTATACCAGGATCGTGCAACATCACTGCTGCATTTAATCAGAAATCCTGGAAATATGCTCCTGAATGAATAATTTTCCTGGAAGTGGGTTTGTTTTAGAAAAAAAATAAAACTGAAATCTGCCTTGGGGCATGGGGCGGGGAGTGCCAAACAACTGAGACAGCATCGAGTGTTGAGAGGACGCCTCCAATGGCTCCCACCGGTAAGTTTGACAGCATGTCCTCCACTGGCTCCCATTGTGTGTTGAGTGGACGCCTCCAATGGCTCCCATCGGTAGGGCTGCCACCTGTTTGAGCTTGACTTTAACAGTTTGGGAATTGGCATCTCTGTTAAGACTGGCAGGGATGAACAATCCCAATTGCGCTACTTTATGTGATACAAGCATACTCCTTGGGATAATGTTTGTATGTGTTTCCACGCGACCCAGACAGGCCGGGAATTGACATCTCAGTTAGGGTGACAGGGATTTGATTTGTACCTAGATCTGGTACCGAGGTAACATTGACATTTCTTACAGGATAATGCACAGTGTTTTGCTAGACCTTGTGCTGATGGAGAGATATGTCTGGGTTTGCTATACAGCAGAAAAAAGGTGGCAACACTATCCATCGGCCTCTCGGAAAGCAGCACCCCTGCCGCATCGTTTGAAAGAGATCGGTTATTTACAGCCTGCGCTGTCCTAAGTCACTCCAGGTCCTTTAGTTAGTCTGCCTTGATCAGACAGCACATCATTGGGAACAACAGCAAGCATAAATAACCCGAGATGTGGGTTTAATTAGACTGTTTTTTGCATGTGTGTTGTGCCGTCTAGCTCTGCGATGGGTTTTGCAGGTTGCGCTGCATGTTGTATGAATACTAAGCGTCCTTGATCCAGGATTTTTACTTGCAACCTTTCGCTTGTGAGTCGAATGTCCTGCCACAATGCCATCTCTGTCTGGATGTAAAGCCTCACTGAGTCTCAAGGCATGCTTTCAAGAGGGTCCTGCAGTGGTATTTTACATGTAAATTGCGCATCAGCAAGTGTGTGTGCCGTATGTGTGTAAGGGGAGCGGTAGCGTAGCGGTTAGCACGCTGCTCTACGAACCCGGCTACCTGATTTTGATTCCCGCTCACGGCCAGCACCATTGAAGATTATATGAACTTGTCCTGGGCCTCCCCTAGGTAAACTCAGCCTCAAATGAGTACCTGGTGCAGTGGGTAAAGATTGCCACGAGGGAGACCGAGGCGGTCGGGCGTGGTGCTGGCTGGCTACCCACCCCCCTCATATGCCGTGCCGGCCTTAATAGTTGCTCGCTAACAGTACTTGCCCCAACAATCTGTTCAGGCTATATGGGGGATCTTTGTATTTGTGTGTAAGGAGCCATGACACTCAGTAAGGCATTCCTGTATAAATAAAGGACTTTCACAATTACCATCACAGTCTTCATGAATATCATCAACAAATTCGAATCATAATGAAGATTATTCTCATATCTCCTTTCCTATCTTCTTCATTACCACTTTTGCATCTTTTCTGTCGCTCTACACAAAGTTTAGAGAGCAATACAAAAAAAATACTTCATCTTTGCATTGACATGTGGATTGCTCCATAAAAAATTATGTTTGAATAGGGCCCCTTTTTTATACAGGAATCTATCCACAGTACTTTAGTACTATCAGCTGCACATTCTCACGCAGTAATTGTTATGCACACTAAATTTGAATGAACTCAAAACAATTACATATGAATTATACAAAATTGCAGTGTTGCACAAAAACAACTTATGGCGAATTGTCCGCATGTTTTGACACTGCTCTGTCTGTTCACTCCAACCCAATTTCCTCGCCTCTGTATCAGCCTCTCCGTGAATTATCTCCCATCAACGAACCTCTTTCACTCTTCAAACTGTGCAAAACATGAGTCATGCTTTCAGGTAATGAGACCAGTTGTTTTTTTTTCTGTTTGCATAGTGTTATCCTAACAGCAGCAACGACCATCACAGAAAACCAGAATTAAAGTTAAAAAGGTTTCCAATTAAACCAGGAAGGGATGGTGCTAAAATCATGTTTACAGCCCTAAGCCAGTGGTAGAAAGTCCATATTCGGATGGTGAAATGAATTTATCCATACGATGTTAGTCGTCCAAGGGACCAGAGAGAGTATTTGTTGATGGATGTGGAAGCACTTAACCCCACAATCAGAAGGTAGTGAGTTCAAATCCTACCTGGGTGTCTGCTCAAGCCCAGCTAAATTAAAGACTGTCACCTTGAGCTGGTGGTGAAAATTCCGAATTCCCTTGGTGGAAGCCAGTATCTCCATATGAGGACCACTGTTGACTTACCATAAGGTGATACTCATCTTATCAACTCCAGAGCGGACTGATGGGCTGAGTTTCAACGTGACATTTCTACCAATCATGACGACAAATATTAATTCAACATCCGTGTGTTTTATGCAGTCACATTCGAGTAGTCTTCATCAAAAACATTGCTTGTTTGCGTATTTATTTACGTACTTTAAACGGGCAGCAATAGAAACGATGTTGCATTCTGAGTGTGCGTTTTTCAAAGTCCCGAACAGGCATCGTCCAAAAATCGATCCTAGTGGCATTTGGGCCCTCCAGTACACCGGCACATGGCAGAGGGCCTTTGTGTGAAAATGACTCGGGGGGTGGGTGGGGGGAAGCTTCCTCCTTCAATGACGAGCTGGGCCAGTGGGTGGAATGAATGGCGTTTTAGGCCATTAAATAGAAACACCAACATCACTCACTCTCTGGAAAGGAGAAAAACTTAAAAGGGCCCTCCGTGGGTGAGCAGGAGGAGAGACGCCAATGTCCTGATTATTTGCACACCGGCAGTCAAAGAGTGGTGGCTGTAAACTTATGAATTCACGCTGGAATTCCCTTTATTTATTTGTTTTTTTTGTTAGCGGGACTAACGGCTCGGTCTGACTTTGATCGGTGACCCTCAAGTGGCTCGTTATTGCCGTGGATCTCAATAAACGAATTATGGGACACTAAGCAATATATTTATGGGCAGAGCAGTGGAGTGGCGATGCAGTGGTCAACACATTGGGCTACAATCCCAGCAACTCGAATTCTATACCCAGCCATGTCTAGCCTCAGTAGCATGTACATAATGTGTTATTTTTGCTCTTGTTAGATTGCACATTCCCAACCTGAAATGTCCTGTAATTGTCACCACTGCCTGTGGTCGCCCTTGTAACAGCGGTGCTTCGATCACTGGGGCCCCGGAATCAGCGAAAATAAGAGTCTGAGAATGAGTTGGCACGTTCTGGGTCCCCCAAGTCACCAACCCACACTGAACGGTGTGGTGAAGTATGGTCAAACATCCCCCGTGACCAACATGGCGTGGGGAGGCCTTCCTCTGCTGTATATATGCACTGTATGTATGTTTAACTTATTTTAGTCCTGTACGTAGCCAACCATGCTAATAGGAGGTGGGGGGGGGGGGGGGGGCGGGGGGGGGGGAAGAACAGCAAACTAAACACACCAAGACGTTCTCAAGAAATGAGTTTTCAATCTAGATTTAAAAGTGTATAACTCCAGTGGCTTCTGAATATCGGACGGAAGAGCGTTCCAGACGGGTGCAGAAGCGCAACTGAAAGCGCGCAATGCGGTGACCGTCTTTGTTCGATGGCTCGCCGGAAGCCGTTGCTGCGAGGATGACGGGAGTTGGCGTGATGGTTTATGCTTCTTACGAGAATTATTTAAATAAATAGATACATGTAAGCGTATATAAGCACATTAAGCTGGATTCATTACCACATCCATGTCAAGGAAGTGGCCAAACATTCTACTGGAGGACCCCCCCCCGGGCAGAGGAAAAGACAACAGACTCTAAATTTTGATTTAAAGCTTTCGTGACTGCAGTAATTCATTTCTTAGCTCTTTTGGTAAAGTCACGTTAAAGGGAAACAATAAAACAGCCGTTGCTTTTCACACCTGATGATGACCGCTTGTGTTATGGTCGAAACGTCGTGAGAATTTTTTTATTGTTTTATATATATTTTATTATTTTATTGTTTCCCTTTAACGTGACTTTACCGAAAGAGCTAAGAATAATAACAACAGACTCTGTTACGCAATACTCGACTCCAGTCCTTCACGCTCTGGAAATAATCGTTCACCGCATGCTAATCGACATATCAGCATTAGACATGTCAGCAGTCTGTGTTGGGCTAAGATGAACGAAGTGAAAAGTGAAAATGTAACATTTTGCGTTTGCGTGCGTAGGCACCGTAGCCCGATATGAGCGCATCAAATTGGCTGCATTTGACAAATACATGGCAAATGCTGCCCGGTTTCAAACCTCGCGGATCAGCGGCGGTGTCCAGTCAGTGTTCATCACACAAAGCCACAGTATTAGCACCCAGCCACCTTCACGGAAAAAAATTAGCATGACAAGCAGATCGTTAAAAGGAAGCAGCCTCGAGAGGGGGGGTGGTGGTGGTGGTGGCTTCCAACTCACACGTCAGCTGGGACCCTGAGCAGCGCAGGCAGGATCTGTGAAACGTCAGCCATCTCCAAAAGGCGCTCCTCCAACAGCTGTAGGATGCTGAGGCCCAAGCGGAACATCACGTTCAACCCTGCGTGAGAGAGAAGCGAGGAGAAGCACGCACGGGCGTGGGGGGGGTGGCGCGCGAGCAAAAAGACAGATGCACGGCCATCGACCCGTTTAAGCCCCCGGTCAGCAGAGCAGGGCCAAGTGCCGTTGCCGAGCACCGGGGCCCGGATTAACCTAGGGGGCTTTCGCGGGGGGCTGCAGCCTGCGGGGGGACCTTGGATTTTTAGCCCCCCCCCCCATTCAACAAATATATATGCACTGATTTATAATGGTCGAGACGCAATACTGCAGCAATGTGATAAATTCGGGAGGTAGTTTGTTCATTCATGGCAGGCTATCACGAAGCGTTTTGTTAATTTCAACTTTTTAGATTTTCCTTTGCAATTCGAGTACTGCATAAAAAAAAACAGAACTGAAATAATGACTCTGCTACAGTCACCCCTCTCGCACACACAGGGGCTCAACTAACAGCTTCGTAAACTGCACTCGACTGTTCTTATTCTATTCGCCCGTCTTGTTCGCGTCATAACCTGCCCACGGAAGATCGTGGCTGTTGACTTCTCGCGCTGTGGATTGTCCAGGGCGCTGACCGCAACGCCATTGGCAACATCTATCAGGCGGCGAGGAGTTCAAATTGCAGTCATTGGTCAAATCAGCTCATCGCACGTTTTGGATTGATGGCATTTGTACCACCTTGGTGGAAATTTACCAATCGTTGTTTTTTTAATGGACTGACCTCCCCGCCACAGGATTGTGATATTTCCAGCACTGGCTCAGGGTGTCGAACAGGGCCGCCCACACTTGCTTGCGTGGGGAGGACACCTACTTTTTGCGATTTTCCCAGGGTTTGATAACAGTCCCAGAGATGCTCACTCCATACCCAAGCAAGGGAAACCACTCACCTAAGCCACTTACTCCACTCTTAGATGGGGCAATTCCAAACGCACAGGGGATCTCTCAATCTAACACCTGAGTGTGATCATCGGTAATCTGTTTGCTTAAAAGCATCGCTAGCACACTACAAAGCAGGGGGAAAAAAACTAAACAACCCTGACACAGAAAGGCTTTCTAAATAATGTGCTTCCAGTGAGAGTCTGTTTATTATGCATCAGCACAGGTGCAGGGAACGAAAATAAAGGCATTCTGTATCATAGGGGTTTAATAATATTTGGCCATGTCTCACTCTGCAGACGTGCTCTCAAACATGATGAATTGCGGATTGTTTTGGTCTTGTTTGGGTGTGAAAGTTCTACTTCACTCACTGCTCTGGGTTCACTGCCTTTTGTGCACAAGTTTCTGAGTCACTGGCAATGCAACTAAGCATCGTGGGTGTCTGCATCGGGGAAATGAGTCATGTGATCTAACTGGCAATACAACTTGCCAAGACCCTCCTGAGAAAGAGTAATGAGACTAAGTAACGTTTTGGTGGGTAAACAAGAGGAGTAATAACAATCATGCTTAAAACACAACCGACAATTTTACTGCCCGACTATATAAGGAAACATCTACACAAACACACGTCCACTTTTAATCTGCAGCAGATTTGTACGAAATAAAATGTAGGCACTATCACAATGGATTGTCGGTGATACAACAAAAAGCGAGGAAATAAATAATAAAATAACGTGCGAAATGTTTAATCAAATAAAAAAAATATTCACCGCTAAATAAAATATATACATATTCTTTGGGTCTTTCGGTAAAGTCGAGTAGATAGATTACCAAAAGACCCAAAGAATATGAATTCCTGCAGTCACGAAAGCTTCAATTTCTGCATAATAAATAAAAATATGAAAATCTAAAGCAAAAAATACATTATATAATAACATATGAATAAAATAGTAATACAAACATACGAAATTGACAACATCCTTTTCGTCAGCGGTGGCACGTGTGACTCATAGCATGAAGGGCCTCAGTTCCATGCCGTTCTCCGTGGAGTTTCTATGTTTTCCCCCTATTCTGCATGGGTTGCCTCCAGGAGGTTCGAGTGTCCTCCCATAGCTGAACAACTCATTCAATGTCACTTCTATTGGCCAAACATCCCAATGCTCTAACAATAAAAATAAAAAAACGACCTGCAATTTACTCTATTGGGATTACATTTTGCAACATTTCACCCTGCTACAAAAGCTTGGCAGGACCCTCCTGAAATATTTTATTGTGATTCAGTGAGGCTTTCCGGGGTAAACATGTGTCATAACATTAATACAAATCATCATCATCATCCGTGATATATCTACTGCTGGATGATGGCCCTTCCCACATCGTCACAATCACTCACTCACGATCCCATGATGACACAGGCCACGTCACTCGCAAAAAAAAACTGCGTGCGTGTTTGTGGTTTGACAAACGAACACTTAAAAAGGAGCAGCCCAATCCAGCATCGCAGTGAGGACTGCAATGTTTGGCATTACAGCGACGTTTTGGGTAGACAGTAGTTCTCAGGGCAATTGTATAATCGCCGAAATCAGATTATGTCAGGTTTTTTGTTTTTTAGCAATATTACTGTAGAGATTATTGAGGGTTTAGTGGTTAATTACTATAAGTCATGGATATTAAGGGAACACATATTTAGGATGTAATTAACACTGTAGTCAGACGTACATATTCAACAGCTTGCATTCATAAAATAACCTGTTTTGAATATCATAGGAGTATTATTTTGTGTGAATTCAACCATCGCGGTCTTATGAATATGTGAATGTCTGGTGAGTGGTGCCAGGTGAGTATTATTGTCCGGTGAGCGCTCTCAGCGGAGTAGTGTGAGGTCAGTTATGAGTGTCTGGCGTGAGGTGGGATTGTCTGGTTGGCAGTGTCACATCGACAATTGTAGGATGGGCTGCCCTCGATTAACTTTGACTTTGTGACATGTAAGCTATCTTCGCGTGCTCACATACACAGTATGTTGATATATTCAGCCTTGTCATGGAATACCGAGACACGTAGAGACTTGAGCAAAGCTGGTTGATACAGAACATTTACATGTTTGAATACAGGACCAGAGAAGGCCTCGGATGAAAACGATTGATGAAAAGTTCTCGGGAAACACCGCCGACCGGTTGCCTTAACCTTAATTCAGAGTGCACAAACAAAACGATCATAGAAGTAAACAGGATAACCCTGAAGAGGAAGACCACAGCTGTCCCAAAAAAACATTTCTCACAGCGGTCTCACTTTAGTCCAAACACGATCGCCTTAAGAATGTGTTCCTTTGTCACCATCTACCAAACTGCTTGGGTAAATATTTGGCTATTTCCATGCACAGATGTATACCATGCAATGACTGCACTCGTCATTTTTACAGGGCTTCCCAAACGTAAGCTCCGTGTGACTCATGCCAGTCCACCTTACCACATTCATAAATAGTCTCTGTGCACAGACTAAAGTGTCATTAAACATGTTCCACAAAGAAACACCTTGTGTCATTAAAACCTCGCGATAAAACCAACGTAAAAAGATCCCTGGGTTTGATCTTCCACGAAGCTCAAGGTCCACCCTACGCGACATCTTGCACAAACCATAGCAGATGCGGATACCTCGTGCACAAATGGAAAGTTGCAAACTCTCCAGCGGTGTGCGACTGTGGTCGTGCTGAACAGACCGTACAACATATGGCGAAGCAATGTCCGATCCACAAATATGAAATAGACATCACAGCGATGAGACACTCCGCGACTCGTGACGCGGTTATTTGGCTTGAACCACCTGCATGTGACATTGCAGTTGTGGCTCTGTATCTACATCAGCCATGCGACAAGAAAAAAACGATTGTAAATTGTCAAATACATATATATGTGTACAGACACATTGTGCAATAGGATCGTTGTTGATTCTCGCCATGTATTTACACTCCTGAGAAACGCTGTCAAAAGCACAGGCATTAATGTTTTTTTTTAAAAGACTAGTTCCAAGTGGCGAATGATGAATGATGCGATAGCACATGCACACACACAAAGATCCTCCATTTGGACTTGCAGACTGGTGATACCAAGCATGACGAGTAGGGCTCACAAGGGTCTGACGAGGATAGCACCATGCACGGCTGCCTTTTTCTTCCCTTGCCTGAAGTTTACACATCGCACCAGTTACTCATTTGAGGCTTAGTCGACTTATGGGAGACCTAGGCCATCGGAAAAGCAGTACAGTGTGTGAACCATGGTCCGACTACTTCTCACATGCAAAGAAAACAAAGATAAAGTTTTAAATTTTGATTTAAAGCTTTCGTGACTGCAGTAATTCATATTCTTAGTTTTTTTCGGTAAAGTCACGTTGAAGAGAAACAACAAAATAATAAAATATATATAAAACAATATACAAAAATAAAAAGAGATCCCACCAACAGCTTTGTCACACAAACCAACAAAATAATTTCTGATTCAACCGCATTAATTGATCAATCTAAACAGTTTTCGTTGAAACCTTCTGCTGCCAGGCCACCAAGATTATACGGCTTACCAAAAATACATAAAGTTGATACACCTCTTCGTCCCATAGTCTCTACTATCAGCTCCCCCACCTACAAACTAGCTCGTTTTTTGTCTGAAATCCTGCGTCCTTTCACTGGAAAGACCACCTCTGCGGTACAAAATTCTACTCACCTGGTATCGACAATCAAGGGTATTTCCCTGTCCCCAGACGACCTGCTTGTCAGTTTTGATGTAGTTTCCTTATTCACCAAGGTTCCTGTACCTGACACCATTGCAATCATTGAAGACTTGGTTCATCAAGGACTAAACACTGAGGTACCCCCCCTGGTGAGACACTGTTTAACCAATACATACTTCACTTGGAATGGAACTTTCTACAAACAAACTGAGGGCACCCCAATGGGCTCCCCCCTTTCTCCAGTTATAGCTAACATTTTCATGGAGAAATTTGAGACTGACGCCATCCAGACTGCCACTCTGCGCCCAACCTTATGGAAGAGGTACGTGGATGACACTTTTGTCATCTGGCCACATGGCCGGCCTGCTCTAGACCAATTCTTCGACCACATCAATTCCATACACCCAGCCA